CTCTGGATCCAGTGACGCTTTCTTCAGGACCGGTCGGACTACCGCCTCCTTTAAAGGGGCAGGCACTCGACCCTCCCTCAGAGAAGCGTTAACCACTTCCAAGATCCAGGTCCCAATCCCGTACTTGGAGTTATTTATTAACCAAGACGGGCAAGGATCCAATAGGCAAGTGGTGGGACGTACTCTTCGTATCTGTGCTTCATCCTCTGCTGTGAGGGCTGACGAAGAGAAGTAATTTGGCTTCGCTGCAGTCTCCTTGTCCCCCTGCCCTTCTTGCTGCTTTAATTCCATTATCACCCAATGGCCCATCTTTCTTTTATCATATTTAAAGAATTGTTTATTGTTAGCCTTGATCTCTCTAATAGGTTCCTTGACTCTTTGCGTTAACCATGCTGGTGATTTCCTGGACTTTGTGCTATCCTTTTCTCGCTTGTGGTGTGCACATTAGTTGTGTCTCTGTTGCAGTACTTTTGAGTAATTTCTAGGAACTTTGAAGTGGTTTCAACTTCTGGATCCCCTTTCCAGCTGCTTCTTTACTAGTTCCCTCATTTTTTAGAAGTTTCCTCTCTTGAGGTCTCGCACAACCGTGTTCGAGCTCTTTGGCAGTCTTCCACCTACCCGTATACTAAATCTGATGCCGGTGTGGTCACTGTTACCTGGTGGCTCAGCTGCTTTTTACCTCCTGCACTATGTCCTGGGCAGCCCCACCTAGGACTGAATCTGGGATTGCCTCCCCTCTGGTTGGGTCCATGACCAGTGTCTCTAGGGCACAATCATTTATGGCAGCGAGAAAATTGACCTCTGTCAGAACTGGCACATGCCCTTACCCAGTTGATGTGTGGCCAGATATTGACGATGAAACTCCAATACTTTGGCCACCTAATGAGAAGGAAGGTCTCCCTGGAGAAGAGCCTGATGCTGGGAACAATAGATGGCAAAAGGAGGAGGGGACGGCAGAGAATGAGGTGGCTGGATGGGGTCACTGGGGCAGTGGGTGTGAGTGGCCTCTGAGGGATGGTGGAGGACAGGGGAGCCTGGAGGAATGTTGTCCATGGGGTTGCGATGAGTCAAGCACAACTTTGTGACTAAACAACAAATTATTACAGGACTGCCCTGCATGTGGACCTGGTAGCATTTTGGAGAAAGCCACCTTGGAGTTCCTGTCTTTCACCTGTCCTAGCTAGCAATGTAAAATTGGCTTCCAGGACCTGCCAGCTACGTTTTCCCATGCCACTTGTGCAACATGGACCACAGCCACTGGCTGCCCCCACACTATCTCAAGGCTACCAAGATGGAGCATGAGATCTGCAACATTTGCACGAAGCAGGCAGTTCACCATGTTTTCACATGCCCACCACAAACCACATTTTCTCCAGTGCTGGATTCCCCCACCACCAGACACCCCCCGCCCCAAAAGGAGGGGCATCCTCAAATATGAGCGTGTATCTGCCAAGGGTGGCCAGGCTCGCTCAGCCAAAGAGCCACTTACGTTAAGCATCGGATGTTGGCGAGCCGCAAGAGCGTGCCCACAGGTGGGCAGCAGGAGGTGGTAAATGGCAGGCAGGGGCCTGCCAGTGGCAACGGCAAGCAGCGAGCCACACATTAAAGTCAAAGAGCTGCACGCGGCTCCCAAGTCTCAGTTTGGCCACCCCTGGTATCTGCTCATCTCCCAAGGAATAGGTCCCTTCCATCACCTTCCTCTTATGCAGAAGAAGACCCCTTTTCTCGGTGACCACAGGGGAGCTGCCACCCAGGAGTTGGGGCCAACCAGTCGGTCCCTGCGGGGCCCATCATCCAGTTTGTCTGCCTTTCTTTGCTTTTCTAGGCCAGCAATCTTGGCTTAAAGGCCCGAGTGTGTTCCCCAGGAGCCTGGGGCTCATTGCTCTGAGCGCACACCCATGACTTCTGTCCAGGGGGCAGATGGTGACACTCAGCACAATGCACCGGGCAGCCCCCACAGCCCTGCTTGTTGCCCAGGCAGCGGACAGTGAAATCCTCGGAGGCAGCAACGTATTGCACGCTGGACCCAGATTGCTTGAGTGTGTGTGTGGGCCTTGGCAAAATGGAACTAGCTGGGTTCAGCTGACATGCTTGATTTGTCTCATCTTCTGCCTAGGTACTCGCATACAGCACATGTGCATCATGGGAAGTTGCTGCTGGTGGGCGGAGTCTGGCTCCACGCCCCTTCTGTGCCTGGTGTTGCTGTGATAGATCTAGCCACAGGCCTCGCCGTGGAGTATCGCATTGACACGGTGGGTTGGACCGTAGGAGAGACAACAGCGATGTGATGGGGACTGGGCAGGGGAAGGCAAGATCCATGTGCTGGCTCTGGGAGTGGGCAGTGAGAGTGGCGGTCCAGGGGCTGTGGGTGGGTGGGTGGAGTCGGCAGGCAGCTTGGACATGTGGGAGCGAGGGTCCGGTCCCTTAGCCTGAATGCGAACCCTCATTCCTGGGTCTTGATGGTGCGTCTTATTCCTGTTCTTCTCCAGGCCTCCCTCTCCGGGCCTCTGATGTTGCACAACCACAGCAGCATCTTCTTGCCAGAGGATGAGGAGCTGCTTCTCATAGGTGGGGGTGGTAACTGCTTCTCCTTTGGAAGCCACTGGAACTGGCCTCCCGTCCGCCTGGCCCTGGGTGGCATCTGGAACAGACCGTGAGGCCTTGTGGGCCAAGGGGCCTTTGCTGCACGGAGGCATCGGGGGAGCGGGCACTGAATGGCTGGAGGAGGAGGAGGAGGCCCCTGCTGCTGCTGGCTGTTGTGCCTGTGCGGTGAAGCATGTTCCTTTTGCAGATGCTCTGGAGAAGAAGCCAATGCTCTGGCAGCCAGAAGGGGTTGATTAGCTTTCTTTGCCCAGAATGCCTGTGGGTGGCAGACGTGGACTCGGGGGCTCAGGCAAGTGGGACAGGTGGCCTCAGGCAAAAGAACAGCAGATCCCTTGGGGCTTCCTTGCCAAATCTTTTCCAAGCCTGAGCTAGAGCAAGCAGGTTGAAGGTGAGGGAGCCGAGGCAGAACAGGGCAGCCGCCGTGGCCTTTAGCAGTGGTCCTGCAACTCCTCCCAGGAGGGGCAGGACATCTGGCAGAGAGAGACCTTGCACCACTAGGTTTAGAGGTGGAGAGGTCTCTTCTTTCCTACCATAAGTATGTCAGTAGAACCTTGAGGCTGGATTGGGCCCAGGGGCCATGTAGTCTAGCATTTTGTTCACACCATGGCTAACCAGTTGCCTGTGGGAAGCCCACAAGGATGGCCATCAGGACCAGTAGCGTGCTTGAATTGGCTTAATCCCCTTAAAAAACCACCCACATTGCTGGCCACGAGAACCTGTGGCAGCAGATTCCAGAATTTTACTACAGCCCAGCATGCCCTCCTTCTGTCCACATACCTTGCTTCTCCCCTTCAGCTGGTGGTGCTTCTTGTAAGCAGCCAGCCACGTTCCGAGGATGCTGGCACGGGGGCTTGTGCAAGTCTCGCACTCCCACCCACGTGCCTCTGTTTCATCTTGTTCCTCGTTCAAATTATTTGTTTGCAATGGATGATCAAACGCAGGAAACTCGTGGGCTCAGGGAAAGCCTTCTGTGTGGTGCAGGAGAGCCTTATGAAGGACTTCTGAAGGCAGTGTCTTGCTGGTGACACTTTGTGTGCACACCCATTGTCTGGCAGAGGCCCCCTTCTGGTTGACACCAGAGAGCTTCTACCCTTCAGCGTTGCGCAGACGGCTCTGTTGCTCTTTTTATCAGCATCTTGGACAGGTTTGGAAAGAGGCCTGCGGTGCTGTCATCATTCACAGCCCTTTCTAGGCAGTGCAGCATCATGTGCTGCTGCTTTTTTTTTTTATGCTCACAATGTATGTTTGGACTGCCAGGGAAACGTGCTATTGAGTTGTCATGTATTACAAATATCTACAGGCAGTGCAATAGACCAAACTAAAACTGACTTTGTTTGAAAGTTGTAGTCTGCTTTATTTGAATTCCTTTAAATAAATTGTACTTTATTGAATTTCTCTCTCAAATATTTCAGGACTATCAGAAAAACATCTGAGATAGTTATGTAGGAAACAGAATTAAGACGGTATGCTTTTTTGATTGGCTTAACACAAACATGCCGAATCAGGTATTTGTCAATTCAGAACAGAGGTGATATTTTGGAAAATTTCCTGATGCAGATTTCAGCCCAAACAGAGACAAGCAGACGAGAGGCTGAGCAAGTGGAAGTGACCCCTTTTGCAAGAATCCATTGTCTGAGTTGAGCAATACCTCTCCTTACCTTTCTCATGTGTGTCCCAGTCCAAGATAAGCCAAGCCACAGAAAGGGCAGAAATGGGCCAGAAGCTGATGAAGACCGAGTATGTGAGAAGCAACAGCATAACAATCCCTGGGGGAAGGACAATCCGGAAGTAACCCACTAAACCAGCCCACAATTAGCCCTGGGTAAGCCAACATAAGTCACTGAAGCAGTCAGCATGAGCTTAAGTGGACTCCAGGGGATGGTAGAGGACAGGAAGGCCTGGAGGAGTGTTGTCCGTGGGGCCACGATGGGTTGGACAAGACTTCGTGACCAGCAACAACAACAAGAAGCCAACATAGTCAGGGGTCCGACTGCTACACTTGGAGCCTATCCCTTTTATCTGAAACTAGCTTAAACTTGGGGAGTAAACTGAGACGGGATGAATCTTTTTTTTTTTTTTTTCCGGAGCACCAAAGGACTGCTTAATAAGAATTACATCACCCATCAGTCTGACAGTTCCTTCTGTGAGTTCTTAATAGGTTTATGAGACTAGCGCACAGAGGGTGGCCCTGCCGGATGGCGATCTTCAGCATTTGATTTCAGCAGCAGCCACCAGCCAGTGTCCCAGTAGAAAAATCACCAGGCGGACAGGAAGAAAGGCAGTGATGTCTACCCCTTGTTCATCCCTGGCTAGAAGGGGCCCATATTGGCCACTGAGGGTTAACTCCCTGTCCAACGCAGGACTCCCAAGTTGAAGCAACCCTGCCAGGTGGCTGTTCAACTTCCCTTTGAAGGCCTCCAGTGCTGGGGAGCCCCTGACTCCCTGGGTTGTTGGTTCCACCGTCGTTCTGCTCCAACAGTCAGGAGGTTTTTCCTGGTGTTCGGCGGAACCTGCTTGTCACTTGAGCCTGTCATTCTGTGTCCTGCACTTAGGGATGACTGAAAAGAGATCCTGACCTTCCTCTTTGTGACATGTCCTGTCTCCCTGCAGGCTTTTCTTCTTGAGGCTAAACATATCCACTTCTTTCAATCTCGCCTCACAGGGCTTTGTTTCCAGTCCCCAGTTCATTGTTGTTCCCCTCCTGTGGACTTCTCCAGTTAGTCTGCATCTTTATTGAAGTGTGGGACCCAGAACTGGACACGGCACTCCAGATGGGGTCTAACTAGTGCTGAGTAGAGGGGAACCAGGACTTCATGTGACTTGAGAACTCCACGGAGAGCCTTATAGCTACTCTCTGCCAAGTGGCAATCCTGCCCATGTGTGGCATACACCGTGCTAAAATGTGTGCACCACAAAAGAATGGATGTTCACTCTGGAGTTAATCCTCCTTGTGTGGATGTACTCAGGGAGGGGCTACAAGCTGTGCCGGCAAATGGATGCTGCCAAATCCATGTTTTCATAGAGTCTACGGAGGGGTATAGAAGCTCTTGGGTACATACCTGCCTAATTTTACCCTGAAAAAGTTCTCCTGGACTTGTCCCCCCACAAAGAGGGCTTGCTTCAGGTTTTGAAGTTAAAATAATGGTTAAAAACAAATGGAAGGGATGTAGAGGCAAAGCATCCACTGATGCATCACCCAAGGAGCTACACACAAGATTGGGAGTCTGATATCTATCAATGTATGACATTTCTAAACTGCCCAGTAGTGGTATTCTGATTAAAAACAATACAGATTATTTGCGAAACAATAAAACAAAACAGATAATAGCAAAATCAGCACATAATAAAATCAGGACTAAAACTTAATTTGTCCTGCTGTCGGCAAAGCAGCTCTGGCCGGTGAGCTACTTGAGCTGGACTGCTCTGCTGTGGGGCAGATCCCCAGCTGGCTGGCAACCTTCACCCCCAAGAGGGCTTGTGACCTCAGCAAGCGGAGGGAGGCAGTGCATGGGAAGCCGGTCCTGGGCCGGGCACTTCTCAGCATTTTTGCTATTGACTTCAAGGGAGGCGTGGGAGCCGAAATGCTTATCAGGCTTGCAGATGTCATGAAGTTAGGTGAAAGAGGAATGCCCTAGAAACAGGACCAATATTCAAAATGTTCTTGATAAGTTAGGAAACCAGGCAGTAAATAACAGGATGAAATTTAAGAGGTGAATGTGATGTTCTTCATTTGGGAAAGAGAAATCAAACATACAGCTACAACATGGGGAGCACCTCGCTTGCTACTATTGTGTGGATCTTGGCATTGTAGGAGGTCACAAGCTGAAAAGGTGTCAGCAGAGAGATGTGGCGGCAAAAAGACACATGCAATTTTAGGTTGCATCAAGAGAAGTGTTTTTTGTAAAGCATGGAAAGTGATGCTCTGCATTGCTGGGACTTCGCTTTGGATATTGTGTCCATTTCTGCTCACTACACTTTTAAGAAGGCTTCAGATAAATTCTGTGGCCTGACGTGTGCTGGCCTATCACTCCTGCTGTCAGGAGAAGTTGGATAGCTGGCAAGAGGAAGAAAGCTCCCCAGGCTGGTCAAGAACAGGAGCCATCAATGTTCGATTCTTTTACGAGATGCAAAGGCAAGAGCCATCCTGCCACCTGTGAGTGCAGGAGTGCTTGAGTTTCGGTGCTGGAGGGTCCGGGGTCGAGTGATGAGCAGAGGGCAGTGGGAGGATAGCCAAGACACTGGCCCAGGCAGTTAATGGTTATGCCATGCTCTGGTCCTCCAGGCACCCACCGGCTTGGAGTTTACCCCATCTTGTATAACCAAGACAATGTCTCCCAGTTTTGCCCACCAGAATACTTGGTTCACTGTCAGGATCGAATTGGCCAGGGTTGAGGCAGTTGCGCTGGTTTCTAAGATGGATCGCTCTCGCTCTCGCTCTCTCCCTCCCTCTCTCTGTATACCGCAGTACCTCACAAGTGTTTGCATCTTGCATTGGGCCAGTGGGATTGACTGGGGATTCTGCTCATGGGTCACCCCTCCTATCACCCAGAAGTAGGTGTGAAGCTGAGCCGCCTCCCGACTGCTGGCTTTGGAGGGCGCCAATGTTCATGCTGAGGGCAGCTTGTGTGGGTTGTCTCAGGATTTGGTGGCTTCCATGACAACGGGGGGGGGGGCTGCTCCAGCTTGTCACGAACGCACACACTTGCCCTGCAAGGTATGCAGAACATGGGCAGCCGGCAAGATCAGTTCCGTATTTGCAGATGCAACTCAGGGACACGTTATGTTTGTTTGTCCTTTGGCAGCTGGAACTTGGCAGATTATGTAGCTCCAGCAGAACAGTATCACAACATGCGAAACAAGGCATGCACAGAGGACCTTTCCAGTACACATTGTTATGTCTGAAAAGGCACGTCCTTTTTCCTCTTCCAGGCGGGAAGTGCAGGAGTTTTATCTGTGGACCTTAAAACATGCACTGAAACGTGGCATCTGCTGCCCATGATTTTGTCATGTCCAAGGGCTGCTCTTTGGGACCTTCTGCTGGGGGACTGTCATAGGATTATGCAGTGGTCCAAAACTTACAGCAGCTTTATTCCCAGGAGAGCTACCAAATGCTTTGGTGGCTCTTCATACTACCAATGAGAAGACATTGCGCAACTGTCCCTTTATTTTTAACAGATTATCTGTGGTAAGAGAAAAGTTGGAAGAAGCAGTGGGGAAACTTGGGAGGATTATGAGTGGAAGATGACATCTGGGCCATAAAAGAGTCTGAGCGGTGCTCTCATAAAAGCCTTGTCTGGAAGCTGTAGCCGTTTCAACAATAATGACTCCTGGCTGAGAAGGGTTAGGGTTAGGAATATCTTGCCCCGTTTTCACTTACACACAAATATTGCGGTATGCAAAGCTTATGCAAATATGTGTCCTTTATTGCATGAGCGAAAAAGCCACTCTGTCTGCATACGTCTATATGCAAGCCTTTGCAGCTCTTATCGGCACTTACAGAAAATTAAACACACCTGGGGGGGCGTGAAAGACGTGGGGGGGCAGCAGAAATAGGAAGAAGCAGCCTTTCCTTCTTGCCGCTCCCGTTTCCTTTCTTTTCCTCGGTCGGCCATGTCAGGAGAGGCAGGGAGGGCAGGAAAATGCCTCACATTGCTTTCAGGCAGCCATGCAGGGCGTGTGTCGTGCATGAAGCTCCGACAGAAACAGTGACTCACGAGGAGACCTTGCACTTGGCACCCAGTGCGCAAAAGTCGACCCCACAACCCAATACAGGGACAGCTGAGCCAGCTACTGCGTCTTCCTCTGAGCCCCAGCACGTTGAGCAAACGCCTGGACCTTTACCAGAGACAGAGAGTCATGAGAAAGAGGGAGCTGCAAGTTCTACTCAGAAGGAGGCAGAGCAAACTGCCTCTTCCCGCCCTGCTGCTGATCTCCCTGAGCCAGAAACAGAAGACACAATAGGTGTCGTGGATTTTTCAAGAGCCCAGAGCAGACGCGTTTTACGCCGATTTGAACAGCTACAAAGTAGACAGCGTAAGAGGGAGGAAAGGCGTGACTTGGGAGAATGATCCCACGTGGGCTCAGGAAGAGAAGCCATTATAGGGCTGACATCTGCTTAGCAAGGACCGCTAATAGGGAACTTATCTGTAGAACTGTAAATCTTGTAGACAATTAGCATTAAAGGACTTTAGTTTTATTGCTCTAGAATGTGTGGCATGTTTACATACCGGGCTACCCCTCACGACAGCGTGACATGAAAACTGCGACTTCTGTGGCGTGGAAAAGTAATGCATTTTTTGCTCTCGCCATGTTGGTTGTGTCCGACTCAAGATGGGGCTTTCCTTGTCAGCCATCTTGGGAGAGGCCTGTCTCCACAGAGGCGCATATCTAG